ATGCAATGATGGTGGTATGTAGTTAATTGTTAGTACTAATCAAAAGTCAATTATCGCATTTTTGTTTGGCAATATGGTAGCAATATGCGATTTTGTGGTGGAATTTGATTCTTTCCTTATCTCGACAATTTTGCCTTGTTGTTTACGCGAAGCGTTTTGTTCAACAATTCGAAATTTGATTAGATATGGTAACACACTACAGTACATATTACACAGGGATAGTAAACTTAGTTGTAGAAAACGATTGAAGTAAAACTTATTTGCTACTGTACAAGATAGAATTTGAGTAAAAGTAAATACACCATATAACAATTTTGAATAATGTTTATTAATAATATGATGCTAATACTCGTGATGCACACATTTATTAGTGTCGACCAGTGTACACTTTTATATAATGAATTATGAATTATATATTTATAATAGCATTAAAAATATGTATAATATTTAAAAACAATAATGTAATTGAAATCATACTTGAAATTTGACATGATCGGTTTGTCATTGTAATTAGCATTTAGAAGAGAAATGAAGTAATTGCTGATTAATAAATTCTATAATAATAGTTCAAACAGTGAACATTGTGTTAAACAACGCCTAAACAAATATTGTTTTCGCAACTTCACTCATCGTGTAATAATTGTGTTTGAAGAACTTCATGTAATTAAAATTAGCATACATTCATTGACTGCTTGTATTTTTTTTTATTTTTTCGCTGGCGATATGATACATATTGAATGATTGATATGATATCATGGCATATTGACGAAACGCGATTAAAAAAAAGAAACGTTGAGGATGATAGCCCTTTTCGGAGTTCTCTATTGTATTTACTACAGTATCCATTCCGAAAAATAAAAAATCAAATTTATTCAGAAAGGACTATGGTAATGCAATATATGAAAAAGTAAGGTTATCTGTTTGTTGAACTAGAAATTTTATGAAAAGGAAAGGATTTGAACACATTAAGAACACTGAATAGAAATTATTTAAACGACCTAAATAAATATATGTACTAGTGCTATCTGACGTAGTTGTGTTGCAAACATTTATAGAGTGTAGAAATTTTACATTTTCAAACCAGTTTAAATAATTTTTAGACATTTAAATCCATTTTAAAATATTTTCAAACCATTTTCTGACATTTTGAATCATTTTCAGACATTTTAAATCGTTTTCAGACATTTTAAATCATTTTCAGACATTATAGACCATTTTCAGACATTTTAAATCATTTTCAGACATTTTAAATCATTTTCAGACATTCTAGACCATTTTCAGAAATTTTAAAACAATTTCCAGACATTTTAAATCATTTTCAGACATTTTAATCCATTTTAAAATATTTACAAACCATTTCCAGACATTTTGAACCATTTCCAGCAATTTTAAATCATTTTCACACATTTTAATCCATTTTAAAATATCTACAAAACATTTACAGACATTTTAAATCATTTTCAGACATTTTAAATCATTTTAAAATATTTTAAAACATTTTAAAACCATTTTCAGTAATTTTCAGACATTTTAAACCATTTTCAAACATTTTGAAGAAAAACTTTTTTAGGCGCGACTAGGGTGTAAATCCGAACAAATGCAACTGAAATTACATTACGCCCGAAGTGTACGTCATTCGTTCTTGATGAAATCATTTGAATACGGGTCGATTGTGATTAGTCGTCGTGTATGTGAATAGAGATCTGTCGTTGTATCGACAAGGAAATCTGCATAGATAAATAAAAATAAACATTTTAAGGTTACATGGTAGTACAAATCTGGATTTAATGAAAAATGCCTGAATCAGAAGAATATTTTATGCCGTTCCTTGAAAATAATAAAACAAATTAAACATTTGTGCCGTGTACTAAACGTAAGTTTATTGATTAGAAATTATTTCTATATTATTCATAGTTTCTGTAAATCTTTGAAATTATTAAAATGGAAAATATGTTTAGGCAAGACAGATATTACAGCTGATCAAAGAAAGAGACTCTATCGCCAGCGAAAAAGTAAAAAAAATACAAGCAGTCAATGAATGTATGTTAATTTTAATTACATGAAGTTCTTCAAACACAATTATTACATGATGAGTGAAGTTGCGAAAACAATATTTGTTTAGGCGTTGTTTAACATAATCCACTATGCAATTACTTCATTTCACTAATGAAGGTTCATTTCAAAATGCTAATTACAATTATTGTTTTTATATATTATACATATTTTAATGCTATTATAAATATATACTTTATAATTCATCACTGTATAAATGTGTATAATGGCCGACACTAATAAATGTGTGCATCACGAGTGTTACTACCATATTACTGATGAACATTAATCAAAATTGTTATATGATGTATTTATTTTTACTTAAATGCCATCTTGTACAGTAGCAAATAAGTTTTACTTCAATCGCGTGTGAACCTTACGCGCACTCTTATTTCTATATATAATATATATATGCAATTCGACATTTATGTTAAACCTTATTTCAATTTCAATTTATATTTTTTTTTTAAAGGTTTTGTATCCCTGGTTTTTGTTCCCGATATAAACGCCACGCAGCAAGTCGGCTCGCACGATATCGTCGGTTATAATTATTCTCATTAGTGTCTCCGTGTTAGAAAACGGTGCTTCGTTGAAAAAAAATTACACAAAAATTGCGCAACACACAAACCTAGTTTAGTGCAAAATAATTTTAATATAAAAAACACTATTGTTTATCCAAAGTACCATCAACGGGCATATGTCTACGATCCCCCCGAACATGATAATAGGTGACACGACGACGGCCTTGCTGGGGTTAAATCTGACTTTTGATCTAATTTTGAGGCCGATGTGCTGTTTTAGTTGACAAGAACAACCATTCGTTTTGCATTGATGATGATTTTGAGTTTGTAGTGTACAAACACAGGTTTTTTGTGGTTATTTCCTTAGCATAGTCGCCACCACGTGTTCGCAAAAGGTGACGCAATTGGACGGAACAGATGTGAGTAGATAGAGGTTAAGTGGAATTTCGAGTTTTGGGTAAAATGTGGGAATAGATGTTGTTTTGATAGAAATAAGTTTTTTTGATTTTTCAATACAATTCAATTATTCTTATTGCACCAAAGGGTATATTTTTTATAAATATGTTTATATATGTAAATTTTAATATGCGTATTAGTAAATCAGTAAGGTTCTGTGTTATGAGTGCAATGAGTATAAAACTATTGGCTGGAAAGGTTTTAAAATGTCTGAAAATATTCGAAAATAGTTTAAAATGTCTGATAATGTTCGAAAATTGTTTTAAATGTCTGAAGGTAACTAAAAGTTGTTTAAAATGTCTGAAAATATCCGAAAATTGTTTAAAATGTTTAACAATGTCCGAAAATGGTTTAAATTGTTCAAAAATGGTTTAAATAAATATCTGAGAATATCCGAAAATGGTTTGAAGTGTTTCATACTGTTTTATGGTTTAAATGTCCTCAAAATGCCTAAAAATGACCAAAAATGGCTAAAAATGACCGAAAATGGTTTAAAATTCTGAATATGATCTGAATGTCTGAAAATGGTTTTAAATGTCCGAAATTGGTTCAAAATGTCTGAAAATTACCGAAAATAGTTCAAAATGTCTGAAATTAGTTTAGAATGTCTGAAAATGGTTTAAAATGATCGAAAATGTTTGAAAATGGTGTAAAATGTCTAAAAATGGTCGGAAATTGTTGAAAATGTTTGAGAAATGTTTAAAACTTCTGGAAATAGTTTTAAAATATTTTAAAATGGATTACAATGCCTGAAAATGATTTAAAATGTCTGAAAATGATTTAAAATTTCTGGAAATGGTTCAAAATGTCTGAAAATGTTTTAAAATTGTATAAAATGGCCCGTAAAATGTATAAAAATGCCCGAAAATTGTTTAAAATGTCTGAAACTATCTGAAATGTATTTAGAATGTTTGAAAATATCTGAAATTTGTTTAAAATCTCTGAAAAAGTCCGAAAATGGTTTAAAATGATTCCAATGTTTTGAAATATCTCAATATTTAAAAATCTTCTAAAATGTCTGAAATTAGTTTAAAATGTTGTAAAATGTCCGAAATTTTTTTAAATAATAAAAAATGTCTGAAAATGACCAAAAATGGTTTACAATGTTTGAAAATGTTCGAAAATAATTTAAGATGCCTGAAAATGGTTTGAAAATATTTTCAAATGGATTAAAATGTCTAAAAATGATTTAAAATGTCTGAAATTGGTTTAAAATGTCTGAAATTGGTTTAAAATGTCCGAAAATGGTTTAAGATGTCCGAAATTGGTTTAAAATATCTAAAAATGGTATAAATCGTCCGAAATTGGTTTAAAATGTCGGAAAATGGTGTAAAATGTCGGAAAATGTCTGAAAATGATTTAAAATGCGAATATGGTTTAAAATGTCTTTATTCCAAATTGTTTGGAAATTATGAGCTTTTAAGTGCAACCTTAGAGCTTCTTCCTTAGAGAAATTATGGCCATTTTTTGATTATTATGGTACACTTTTACTAATTTTGTTCATTTAAACTTTAGATCCCTAATCGTTAATAACATTTCTGGAACCACAATCAAAAATAATGATACAATTGCCCCAAGTTGTCTATACAATTAGAACACTATTTGTCAAACATGAATTTAAAATTATCAAAATTGATCGATTTTTAAAGGTCCTCCTGCAAAAAATGTAATAAAGTGTCTAGGCAAATTATATCAAAAATTGGCGCATTTGATCAGAATTCTAAAATAGTAAAATACTGAATAAAAAAAATTGGTCAAAAAAATAAAAACGTAAAAAAACAGTTACGATAATAAAGAAAACATGAGCATTTTATTACCACTACAATGATGTACATCAAGATCCATTATAAAGCTAAGGCATTTTAAGAACGAATTTTGTGCATTTGTGTTTTATTTTTTCTGCAATTTGACTAGCAATATGTGCCAGCAAATATTTAATAATTTAACTAATATTTGTTTTTTCTCTTGCAGAGACATCAGTACTCCGAGGCGTCGATCGGTCAGCTTGCGCGCCAAGTTCACACAGTGCGAAGTGTATGACTCCAACTAGGCGCCGCCACTGCTATAGGTAAAAAGACACACTTGCACACTTTCGTATGAAATAACCAATTGATTTCCTGTATCTTTTATCCCCCAGGCAATCAAAATTTTCGAGTAATAGACATCGAAAGTTGCAGCCCTTTAGGGAAACGTGAAGGGGGTCGCCGCCGCCGCACCACGACGACGACGACGAGGACGACGAGAGTAGAGAAGCAGCAACTGCAATTGCAGTAGCCAAGGAGCAGCAAATACGACCAGCAAATCATCTGCAATATCATCACTCCTCATGCACAACCTCAATCATAGACAACGTCAGTCGCAAACTTTAGACACTTACACGCACCGCTAACTTTTGGAAATAGACACACATTTTAATAGATACAGGTAAGTGGTAATAATAATATAGGGTCCGTCAGATAACTTTTTTTTTGAAAATGCTATATATAAATGTCGGAAAATGTTCGAAATTGGTTGTCAAATATCTCCCTTCCGCCTTTTTGTATTATAAACCAAGAGCAAAAAAGCGGAAGGGAGATATTTGACAACCTAATATAAACTACTGAATATTTTCTCAATCTAAATCTTTTCTATTTGAAAGTGCAATCCTTCTGGTTAATAATCAAAAATAATTGCATAAATTCTAAATTGCTACCAATAAAAAAAGTTATATTGCGGACCCTATAATAATCAAAATCTTTGTTAGAAATCTTTTTAACTTCCCGTAGGGCAAGTTATAGTAATCGCAAAAAAATCGAAAATGAAAATTTTTATATATCTTTACGTTTCAGAGGTTTCTGAACATTTTGGCATACCTTAGAAAAAATGGATGTATGTGTGTGTGTGTGTGTGTGTGTGTATGTATGTATGTGTGTGTATGTATGTGCGGATACAAATTTTCGTCGACGATTTCGGGAACACGGATCAACCGATTTGAATAATTCAAAAAACATTCGATCCGTATTGATAAGGAGACGTGCTGATTAGTTTTTGGCAAAGGCAGGTCAAGCCGTTCCGAAGATACGGGGCAAAAAGTTCCGAAAACGGTAACTCAGTTTTTAAGAGAACGGAGCGTCCGATTTTAATAATTCAAAAAACATTTTATTTGTATTGACAAGATGAAGAATCGATACAACTTTCATGAAGGTAGGTCCAGCGGTTTCGGAGATATAGAGGAAAAAGTAAAAAAATGAGCCATTTGGCGGTCAAAAATGATCATTAGACATATGCACATCAAATTATAAGACATTTTATAGAGATTTTAACAATGAGTATACATTTTGTTAACATTCCTATCGGTTCCGTACCAATGCTTATGCGTTAGACAGCGACGCGGCGCTTACGCGCTTTATATTTTGTCCCTATGTAGTTAAAGCAGTACGATTGCTTTGAAAAAAAAGTTCAGATCTTCCACAATATGTCAAAATAAAGAAAAAAAAAATTTTTTCAAAAAAAAAAATTTTTTTTAAAAAAAAATTTTTTTTAAATTTTTTTTTTTTTTTCAAAAAAAACTAATTTTTTGTCCAATTTATAGTTTCTCAAAAATCTTATTTTTTCAAAGTAATTTTTTTTCAAAAATGTTAATCGTTTTAAAAAATAATAATAATTTTTGGTACGGGAAGTTCCAGCAATTTGCCTTAAGGCACGATGCCCTAATTGCCTTAAGACAGAATTCCACTTACAGCTAGTTAGTCTTCCATTTAATACATTTTATCTACGATTTTTTATACTTTGCATCCAATATCCTAGCAAGTCGTCGACCAAATTAGTGCAGTAAACGGAGAGGAAAAAAGAGTATAACCTCTGAATTTTTTTTACTGTGCTCCGAATTTGCATGAAATTTTAGAATTAGGTTCATCTTACCCTCAAGTTCAAATGTGAAAACAATTTGGGTTGCGACCCCTTAATGAATAAGTGACTATTGAGCTGTTTTATCGCTAGAAAACGTTTTTAATATTAAAGGATACAATTAAAAAGTATTTTCTAATACATTTACCTTGCAATAAAATCATTTTCAACCCTTAATTAGCATTTTTTTAAGTCTTCTATTTAATACATTTTATCTACGATTTATACTTTGCATCCGATATCCTCCCAAGTCGTCGACCAAATTAGTGCAGTAAACGGAGAGGAAAAAAGGGTATAACCTCTGATTTTTTTTACTGTGCTCCGAATTGCATGAAATTTTGGAATTAGGTTCATCTTAACCTCAAGTTCAAAAGTGAAAACAATTCGGGTTCTTCTCAATTGTGTAATTACATTTTTTTAAATAACTACGGAAATCGATAGAAGAACTAATTATAAGAAAAAATTGTCTTTTATATTTTTCCAAAAAACTAATACTTTTCAAGTTACTGTCCACTAAAGATTCATATATTTTTGGCGTTTTTCTTCGTTTTTTTTGCAAATATCTCCTAAAATATACATTTTACGGAAATCATGTAATGAACAAAATACTGTCAATAAAAATCTTAATAAATCGGTGTTTTATAAAGTGTTCTAGGAATAATATTAAACCAGATTTGAAGGAGCAAAGTCATTTTTGATTTCGTTCAAGATTTAATTGCTGTATTTAAAGCCATCTACTGGCGAGGTTTTTCATTTTGTGCATTTCGGTGAAACTGGGTTTTATAGTGCTCAACATAAGCTTTAAAATGAGTGCTGTTACAAGTTTTTTGCGTGTAAAATGAGTGAGCTATCATGCAAATAAGAAGCATATACGATGTTTTTTTCTTTTAAATCATATGGTTTAATGAGCGCCATTTCCACCAGAATTAAAGTAATTCACATTCCATCTAGAATTCACTTCATTATAGACATCTTGATGGATTCTAGAATTTTGAATTCAGTTTACTGCACTATGTCATCCTTTTTGATGCTTTTGGCATTCCTAATGTTTCCAAACAAGTTTTCTTCAAATGGAACAAATCTTTGAATCTTCTTGTTGATCCATTCTATCTTCTGCTACTCCACATTTAACCATATTAACTTTGTCCTATATTGGCTTTCAATTTCCTGCATTTTGTCCATCCAATAAATTTATCCATGTTGAAATGCATCAATGTTTGTCCACATATCTGAATCTCGTTAAATATTGTTTTCCATCATTTTTCTTCAACGCTAGGCAGGTCCATGGCATGCTTCACCTACTTTTGCCTTAGTTCTTTTTCATTATTATGTCTTTTTGGCATGTTTTGCTTCTTGTTGGGATCCATAAGCATGTTTTGGCTCCAAATGTGTCATATAAACCATTCCATTTTTATTTTTGTTGGTCCTTGGCTCTGATCTATGGAGAGTTTTGTTCCATTATTTGCTGATGAAGACCTTTAATTTATCTTTGTTCATGCCTCCAATATGGAAATTTTCTTTTAACTTTATCAGTTTTTTTTTGGCAAATCAAGAATCAGTTGTCATCTTTGACCATGCATTTGATCAATATAAGGTTTTGCTCTAAATTTTGTCAATTTCTTTAGCAAATTAAGAATCATTTTACTGACCATAAGCGTTCTTCTTGTCCATGCTTATGATCAAAATTAAGCTTCAGATTATATCAATTTTTTAGCAAATTAAGAATCATTTTGCTTGTTAACATTGTTGACATCTTTATTGATGCCTCTGATCAATATAAAGTCTTGATTCATATTTTACCAACTTCTTTCTTATCAAAAATCAGTTTTCTTTGTCACTAGAGTTCCTTTAAATCTTTGTCCAAGTCTCTGAAACATATTAGGTTGTCAAATATCTCCCTTCCGCTTTTTTGCTCTTGGTTTATAATACAAAAAGGCGGAAGGGAGATATTTGACTTTTTTGATATTTTTATAAATAGCCTTGTTCGAAATATATCATCTTAGACAACTTAAGAATCAACTTGCTTTTTGGTAATTTCTCGTCTCTGATCCATAGAAAGCCTTCCTAAAAATTAGTTTTCTTTGTCCCTGATCAATGTAGAGCCTTCATCCAAATTTTATCCCATTCTTTTTAATTCAACTATCACGTTGCTTGTCAATAGTGTGCTCTTTGACTATGCTTCCAAATTTATTTATGCCTTCCTAAGTTCAGCAGGATCATTTTTCTTCACATCATTGTCCATGTCTCTGATCCTTCGAAAACTTTGCTACAAATATATTATCTTCCAATCCAAATTTTCTACTTGCCTGTTAGACATTATTTTTATATCTTTATCTAAATGTCTGATCCTTTAAGATCTTGGTTCAAATTTATTTTACAGAAATGAAGAATCAATTGTCAGTAGAGTTCTCTTTTATCTATCTTCTTGCTCATATTTTCTATCCATATAGAATTTTGCTCCAATTTCAATTCTTCCACAAATCCAAGATTTTGCTTTTCATTAACAGAGAACCCTTTTCCGATTTTAGCAATTTACCAATATTATTTACCAATAGACATTATATTCATTTTATATCTTTGTCCATATGTCTGATCCTTCAAGATCTTGGTCCAAATTTATTTTTTACAAATGAAGAACTAATTTTGTTTATCAGTAGAGTCCTCTTTTGTCGTTGCTGCTCATATTTCTGATCCATGTAGAATTTTTTGTTATATTTATTATTATCATTCACTTATTGTTTTTATTTTATTTGTTTTTCTATAGTATTATTTTTATTATTCGGAAATTTTATTTATTTTACTTATTAATTTTATTATTATTATTTGCTTTTATTTTATATTAAATCAACATACGACGGTAATCATTTTATTGAAAATTCTATCCTTTATTTTGTGTTCTTTTTATTTAATTCATATAATCGTTCTTTGCTGTTACTAGATGTTAATTTTTTAGCAGTTGTAACAAATATAGTAATTAAAAAAAAGTAGAATTTTGCTCCAATTTCAATTTTTTACACCAATCAATGATTTTGGTTTTCATCAGTATTTTGTCGTGATTTCTGATCCACACAATCTTTCTCTGTATTTGACATTTTATTAATATTTTGGATAATTTAGCTTGTCAGTAGTATCCCTTTTTATCCAACTTTAATAAAAATATTATCATTTCAGGTTACATAAAATAGCTTTCAAAATTCGGCCGCCAAAGACCAGCCTGACCGCCAAGCGGACCCCAAACAAGTAATAATAAAATTATTATTAATACTAAAGTTATAAAATTATTTATGCTAATAAACATATATTGATTATAGTTGATAATAAAGTAAATAATATATTATATATTGAAGTTAGAATTTTTTTCAAGTCTTATCTATTTTTTTTCTTTTAGATCTGACCATCGCCCAGCGAGTGGCGTCCAGACCACCAGCTGAAACCAACTTTTAACCAAAACAAACACCACTCCAGACCAATACAACAATATTATTGCAAATTTAAAACCAAACCCAAATCAAATCAAATTTATTCCTTCATCGATTCCCTAAAACACTACCAGACAGAATGGGCAGTCTTAACGTGAACCGCAGCGTCAGCGACGCCTTCTACCGCTACAAAATGCCCAGACTCTGCGCTAAAGTAGAGGGCAAGGGCAACGGCATCAAGACGGTCATCGTCAACATGGTGGACGTGGCCAAGGCACTGGGCAGACCAGCCACATGTAAGGGATAATAGTAATAGACTCATGAATTGACCTATCGATAGTTTATGTATGGTTAAGGGGCACAACTAGTGTGAAATTTTCAAAAAATCGAATTTTCAATTTTTCCATATTCCGATAGGTTATACCTTTAAAAATAACATACCAAAATTTTAAATCGATATTTTAAATAGTTTTTGAGTCACAGCCATTTAAAGAGTATATATAGTATTAGGTTGTCAAATATCTCTCTTCCGCTTTTTTGCTATTGGTTTATAATACAAAAAGGCGGAAGGGAGATATTTGACAACCTAGCTTAATTAATTTTAAAACTAGAATTGATATTAACAAGTATGTATCAACATGTATCTAATTTTTTTTTAATTTTCTTTTAATTTAAGGGACACAACTAGCGTGAAATTTTCAAAAAATCGAATTTTCAATTTTTCCATATTTCGATAGGCTATACCTTTAAAAATAACATATCAAAATTTTAAATCGACATCTTAAATAGTTTTTGAGTCACAGCCATTTAAAGAGTATATATCTAGTATATAGTATAACGATCGTTTTATCTTTAAACGCGTTTTTCTCGAAACAGCATTTATTCGAATTTGCTGCAGCGATTACTCAAAAACAAATGATCCGATCACTACCAATTTTTTTTACATGTTCTATATATAGTTCTGCGTAAAATGACCTATCGATTTTTTGATCGGATCAAAAATCGAATTTTGGCTGTCCAAAAACGACCAAAATTTTGGGTAAAATTCGACTGTTTTTTAAAAAAAACGCCGTCATTTTGTCAATTTTTGATTTTTTCGTAGTTCATTTTACATACAATATTATCTAGTTTAACGAGATTTTTTTTTTTTTAATTTTTCTTCCAATCACTGCAGCAGTGAAGGGACTTTATGTCGCGCCGTTGGAGATCGACGATAACTTAAAAAATATTTCATTTTTTTCTTCAAAAATTTCACTATGTATTCTTAAAACATGTATAAATATATTCCTAAAATTTTGAAATGATTGATAAAGTAGTGTTTTTAATATAAACTCCCAAAAATCAGCTTTTTTAAGGCAGTTACACTAGTTGTGCCCCTTAATGGTGGTTGTAGGGTTTACACAAAAACCTACATTTCAGAAAACCGGTTTTCGAATTTTAATTTTACAAAAAACCGGTTTTAACCGGTTTTCGAGTTTTATATAGAAAATAAATTTTTGCTCGAATATTCTGTAATTTATCCGCAAATTTAATGTAATTTAGAGCAGTGTTTGACCGAATTTATTTATTGTTCAATTTTATAGATAGCAAACAAAATTATTTTGATTTTAATTAGTAGAACTGAAAAATAATAGTTTATCTTGATTAAATAACTTTGAAAATGATTAATCGTTATTCATGCATCATTTTCACATATAAGAATGAAAATATTTTTATGATAGTGAAAGGAAAGTTTTCGAATAAATTAAAATACATTTTTAAATAAAAAAATTCATTAAATTAAAAAAAAAATTAGGTGCATGTTGATACATATATGTATCAACTTCCTTTGCTCAAACTTAAAAAAAAAACGGTTTTAAACCATAGAAGCCACAAATTAAATAACAAAAAACTTAGAATTATTATATCATGCTTTAAAAACAATTGAGCATAATTCGGTCGCAAGTATGAGAGTATTTTCTATTTCAGGAAATTTTGTAAGTAAACAAAGGACATGTCTAAGTAGCAATTCGATAGGCGATCTCAGTATTTTGAAATCATATTTTATTAAACAAAAAAACAATTAGAATGTTTAAAATTAATTAATAAAAATTGCTCGGAATAGACAATACCTGAGTTTAGCTTAATTGTTTTTAAAAGTAAAATTGATATTAACAAGTATACTAGAAAATACTCCCATACTTGCTAGCAAATTATGCTTAATTGTTTTTAAAGCCTGATATAATAATTCTAAGTTTTTTGTTCTTTAATTTGTAGCTTTTGGGGTTTAAAACTCTTTTTTTTAAGTTTGTGTAGAGGAAGTTACTTCTTGAAGAAGAAGTCACACTGATTTAAATTCATATATACACTGGTATAAAAATCTAAATTAATATATACAAAACCTTTCTGGGAACCATTGCAGACTGATAAGATATCAAATGCTATTGAACCGATATGATTTCAAGAATCAAAACGCTTTCATCTATCCTTTATATTTGGCTATATTTATCATTTTCCATTTATACAGTGAAAACCGACTTTTCTCACTAAAAAACCGGTTTTCGAATTCCATAATTTTCGCCAAAAAAACGGTTTTTAAAAACCTAGTCTTTTTCTATTTTAGATCCTACCAAGTACTTTGGATGCGAGCTGGGCGCCCAGACGCAGTTCGATTTCAAGAACGAGCGCTTCATTGTGAACGGATCGCACGATGCGAGCAAGTTGCAGGATTTGCTCGATGTCTTTATAAGAAAGTTTGTACTTTGTCCGGAGTGCGATAACCCGGAGACGGATTTGCTAGTCAGCGCCAAGAAGGGCACCATCAGCCAGGTAAAGGAATTTGAAAAAAGAATTATTTGTTAGACTGTTATTCAGGCAGTTTGTTAGTTAGGTTACTCAATTAATTTCTTTTATTCAGATGAACAGTTAATTAATTTATTCAGTCAGTTAGATCAATTATTTGTTTGATCAGCCAGTCAGTTTGCTAATTTATTCATTTGGTCGTTCATTTTGGTCAGCTCAGTTGATTTATTCAGTCAGTGAGTTAGTTCTCTTATCTTCCTCAAAATAATTCTAAATAACTTGATTTTTTAGTCATTTTTTTTTCGCTTTCGCAGCCATTTAAGAGTTAGACAGCCATTTGAGCGTTTTCAAAAAAAGTTGGTCCATCATTAACTTGAAGAATTGTACTTTCGAATAAAAAAAGAAATTTAAAAATATCCAGTAGTTTTTTATAGTATTTTCAAAAAAAAAAAAAAATTGGCGGACCCTATAGTTACGTAAAATTTTTCGAATTTACGAAAAAATCGTAATATATATTTTTTTTTTTTGAAAATGTTTACACGTGCCATATTACTAGGCCCTGCCCTTCCCCACGTGATTTTTTTTTGTCAAATTTTATATTTAAAACAAATATATTCGATTATTTACAAGTTGAGTAGCTATTGTTTTTAAAAGGTAGCAAGATATTATTCTTTATTTTTATTAAAACAATATTCTTTTTATGGATTTATTTTTCTAATATTTTCGTTTGCATGTGGAGTAATGTATCTACAAGTTAATTGATTAATCTGACAATCAGTAATGTAGCTAACTAATTAGTATGTCTGTCGATTAGCTAGCTAATTAATAAGCGAGCCAGTCATCTGGTTAATTAATTAGTAAATTAGTTGGGCAACTAATTAATTATTTACTCATGGAAGTGAGTTATTGAACTAACTAATTAGTCAGGCAGTGAGTTGTTTAGCTAATTAATTTGTCCGTCAGGTAATTAATGAGTCAATTGGCTAACTAATTAATAAATCAGTTACCTAGTTAGCTAATTAATAATCTTGTCAGTCAGTCATCTAGTTAATTCATTAGTCAATTAGTTAATTGGCCTGTTAATTATATTCTTAGCCAGTGAGTTATTAGTTAGCCAGTGAGTTATTAGTTAATTAATTACTAAGGTGAACAGCTAGGAAATTAATTAGCCTCAATCAGCTAGCTAAATAATTAATCGGAAAGTCGATCAGATGGCTAATTAATTAGTCAGTAAGTCGATCAGGTAGCTCATTATTAAGCTAGTCAGTCAGTCATCTAATTAATTTACTAGTCAGTTGACCGGGTAATTAATTATGTTGTTAGACAGTAGGTTGTTCAGTTAATTAATTAGTAACGCGAACAGCTAGCTAATTAATTAATCATTAACTCTATCAACTGGCTAATTAATTAGTAATTGAGTTGATGGCTAATTAATTAGTTATTACGTCGATCAGCTTGCTAATTAATTAGTCATTAAGTCGATTAGCTAGCTAATTAATTAGTCAGTCATCTAGCTAACTAATTAAATAGTCAGTTGGCCAGATAATTAATTATTTAGTCAAATAATAAGTCGTTTAGCTAACTAAGGCAGATAGACAGTTTAGCAAGATAGGCAGTGAGTTGTTTGGCTAATTAGTTAGTCATTAAGTCGATCAGTTAGCTAATTAATTAATCATTAAGATCAGCTAACTAATTAATTCGTCATTAAGTCGATTAATTAGTCGGTTCATCGAGTGCTCAGCTAGTAGTAGCTCATCTAGCTAATTAATTAATTATTAAGTCAATCAGCTAGCTAATTCTTTAGTCAGATAGTAGCTCAACTAGGTATTTCTTTACTCAGTCAGTAGATCATCTAGCTAAATCTTCAGTCTGTAGATCAGCTAGGTAATTATTTAGCTAGTCGGTTATCTAGCTAATGATTTAGTAAATTAGTTGTCTATCTACTGACTGAGTCAGTAAACTAGCTAACTAATTAATCAGTCAGTCAGTCCTTTAGCTAACTAATTAGTCAGTAAATCGTCTAGTTAATTAATTAGCCAGTCAGCTAACTAATTAATTAGTCACTTTACTACTTGGCTTATTTATTGATTTATTTTCTTGTTGATTTATTCCCATATCTCTATTGAATAATCTGTATGTTCTATAATTCTATAATTTTTAGGGTTGCAAAGCCTGCGGTTTCCATGGACCATTGGAATTCAATCACAAATTGAACACTTTTATTTTGAAAAATCCACCCAATTTGGATCCAGCAGTACAGGTAAGATTGATTTAAATTATCTTACTAATAATACTGAAGTATCTAAATTCATAACACCAGATAACTTTAAGGGTTTCATCAATTATACTGATTAGAAGTTATACCTTGCAGTTGTATTAGACTTTTACCACTACTGAGGATATCCCAAATAATTCAACAAATATTACTAGCTTTATATTTTAATAATAATATTTTCTGATGGTTAATTTGTCATTTATAAAATCATGTTCTAAAGTAGTAGCTTGATAAGATTGTATTATATATTTTTTATATATGATTTATTGGCTTTATAAACTAGTACATTAGACATATACTAAATTACATAATATCTACACTATCTCTTAAAGTCTAGTCTTACGTATATATCATTGTTTTATGTATTAGGTTGTCAAATATCTCCCTTCCGCTTTTTTGCTCTTGGTTTATAATACAAAAAGGCGGAAGGGAGATATTTGACAACCTAATATATTTCTTTTATAATTTTATATTATTAGATTTGATGTAAGTATAAAGAGCACGATATAATGTTGTATCTGCCAGCACTGTTATAAAATTAATTGGAAGGGAGATTTTTTGTTTGATTATTTCCTCCTATTGTATTATATTTTATAACTAGTTTTGTCTTCTTCTTGTCATCACATTATCATTGAAATTCATGTTAGTGGTCGTAATTGTTTAGTAAATTGTTGTTTTATTATTTTTCAGGGTTCGAGTTTGACCGAGGGCAAAAAGCGTAGCAAGCGCAGCAAGAAATCAGGCGAGACCAACGGCACCGCCGACACGCCCAGCAAAGACGGCGGCGATCATGCCGGCGAACTTAATGTCGAAGCACCCGATGTTGTCGCCAACAATGGGGTAAATAACCACAAACCACAAATCAACCCTTCTATCTAGAGAATGCAATACCGATGGAAAATTTCAATACCGGTATTTCGGTAATTTTTTATTTTAAAACCGGAATACCGGTGAATTACCGGTATTTTTATTATCTTAAACAAACGTTAACAAAATTGAAAGTTACTAGTTCAGATATAAAAAAAATGTATATACAACTACAACTATATTCAACTAAACAACAAAATAAAACAATAAGTTTATGTTTTTAAATAATAATTTAACAAAAGTATATCCAATTTAATTAATTTATTATCACTATCGAGTATATTGAGTACTTTTCACCAAAAACAAACTTATGAGTAAGAAAGACCAAAAACTCATAAAAGATCATATTACATTATTATAGATAACTGTATTGTATGTATCCAATGTGTTAAATTAGCATAATCTCCAATATTTAAAAAAAAAATTTTTTCTACACTAATTTTAAGTCGGATACTTTGTCGAGATAAATAATAAGTTACTATAATCGTTGAGTATTGTTATTCAAAACAATGTGATGCTTCTATAGTATTTTCAAACTTCGAAACGTTTTTAAAAAATAATGTTTTATAATTGTAATAAGAAGCAAAAATAATTAGTATTTATCATAATTATTATGTATAAAGTTAGAAAAAATAAAGATTACGCAGAGCTAATTTGTATGATATAAATTATTTTAACGCAAATATTACTGAAAAAAACCGTTACATTTTTACATAAGATGAAACAAACTTCATTATTATCTATCAGTCCGATTCTATTTATTGTAACACGATATGAAGCCCTTTGGAAAGCAATAAATATTCAGTTTAATGACGAGTTGAGATAATATTTGACATTTGTTTATCTTATAGAATCACTTGAAGATATAGCTGTTTATGCGATTATGGAATTTAAAGATAAATTTGTTCCGAAAAATTTAAACTTTAGTGTATTATGTATCAAATTGCGCTTATGTAAAAATACCGAAAATACCGGTATTTTTGGTGAAAATACCGCCGAAAAATCGGGCGGTTTACCGGTAATTCGGTATACCGGTATACCGGCATTGCATTCCCTACTTCTATCTATCCAAAATACACCTTTCTATATTTTATTCTTTTTTCTTCTAGGAAGAAGAGGACGACGAAGAATGGGCAGTAGATGTCTCCGAGGAGGCCGTCCGGGCGCGCATGTTAGACTTGACGGACGGCGCGAAGGGCATGACCATCTCCGATGACCTCGACAAGCCGGAGAAGGAGCGCATGGACATCTTTTACGAATTCGTGAAGCAAAGAAAAGCGCAGGGCCTGCTCGAGATACAGCAGACGCACAAGGAGCTTGCTGGCGAGGCGGAAAGGTAAGAGGATAATAGACACAGGACTTACATGAGACGGGATGAACAACTTTGCTTTCTTTCCAGGTTGGAGATCAAATCCAAAGCCACACTCATCCTGGCAGAGTTGCTGTTCACTTCAAATATAATATCAGAAGTCCGAAAATACCGCACCCTGCTGTTGCGTTTCACACACGACGACTCCAAGGCGCAACGTTATCTCTTGAATGGACTGGAGCAGATTGTAGCTTTGCACAAGGTACTGTACTTTCGTTACGAAGTTACAGAATTTATTAACACTATTCCTACCGGGACCGGTCAAATGACCGTTTTTGATTTTTCGATTAGTATTTTTCACATCAAACGTAATTGAATCGTCATCAAACTTCATGACTTTTCCTAATATGTGAGTATAATACATTTTTCAATGTAAATTGGTTTATTAAATTTTTATTTTTGGAAAAAAAATTATATACTGTCTTGCCAACCGCGACCGGTCATTTGACCGGTAGTACGAAAGACGATGTTCGGGCATTTTTTGTAATAATTGTTAAGAATATGATCGAACTTACAAGAAAAAGTAAATTCAGAAGAATTTAGAGTGGTAAAAGCTGCTTTCTGCAAATTTACATGCATTTTGCCAAATCTGTATACACGCTGCGCATATGAGGGAAGGAGTATAAATATTGGTATTCTACGGTATACAAAGTGGGTTTTCTCATGTAGACAGATTTTTACGAAGGAATCCAAACAACAAATTGATAGGTTTTTTATTGAATCCAAAGGTTGGTTCAACTACATTGACAGCAAACAAAATTGTTGTAAAAGACCACGTATTACTATCGACAAACATATATTTTCACTAAAGGTAAGGTGTAAATTTATTCAACACATGTTCAATAATATTCAGGAAAACGTAGTATAAAATTTTAGTAACTGTTCAATATACGATGTAAATATAATTATGCCCAGCAAATCGCACAAATGGGGTGTAAAATTTTCATAACCATCCAGTATATGTAGAAAACTGAGAGTTTCTTTGAAGATTTATAACCAATGAAACCGTATTATCAAAATCGCTAGTACGATGTAATAAATTTAACGTTTTTACCATCCTACTTATAGCTAAACTGTTAATAAAAAAAAAAAACTGATTGTAGGTACAATTGAAGCAATATAACAGCTACAAATACTGGTAGATCTAAAAATCAAGGACTTTACTCAAATAATATTTACAATTTTGGAAGCTAAGAAAGAAGATTCTAATTTTCACTTACATACACATAACGTTGAAAAAATTTAACTAATACGGGAGTCAATTCAATTGGTATTAGCGTCGTGTTTGGTGCAGATATCATTCATAAAGTAGTCAGAAATCATTCGGTAAAATATGAATTTTAGAGAGAATTTATCAAAAATTTACAATATTTTGTACAAGGCAGGAACTTTCTATTCCAATTAACTTCCCGTATAGTTCCAACAAGAATTCAGAAAAAAATCAACTAAGTACAAATACATACAAAACAAATTTCCTAAAAGAAAATATTCCAGATAATGTTTTAGAAAGATGATAGGGCGAACAAAATCAGCCAAAAACGTGAAAAATGCGTGTGCAGAAAATACAATCTAAGAAAAAAAATCGTAAAAAATTGGATAAAACAGAACAAAATGTAGATTTCGCATTCTAAAATAAAAGTAATATTTTGTATTTGTATTTATAAACTCTTAATCTAGCATTAACTCTTCATTCAATACTGAAAAATATAGATTTGGCATGACCGGTCATTTGACCGGTCGCGGTAGGAATAGTAAACATGAAATGTCGATAGGAATAGTGTTAAAACTCTCTTTCGATAATTCAGGTTGTTGGGTTATAGTTTAACCCTTGTATCTGCGGACTGTATTAAACACTGATTTGTTTGTATATTATATATTTGTTGCAGTTCTAATTACAATCACTGATTTGTTACTAAGTTATAGTGAAAGAAGATATATTTATTGGTTATTATACATGTTGTTAAGAGGACTTTACTTTTAGAAGTGAACCACCAGTTCAATTAAAAGACTCCGCTACCCTCTACCAAGAGTAGCAACCATTCCATGTAAAGTCTAATGCCCTAAAGTTTGTCACCTTCATGGCCAATATAATATACCGAAAATACGTCCGAACAGTACAACAATTATCATCTCCACCATCAACGATCAATTTCCTTTACCTCCTGTGTCTATTTCCAGGATACTTTGCTCAACAAGGTGCCGGGCATATTGAAGCTGTTCTACGATGCTGATATTTTGGAAGAGAAGGCGCTACTCGATTGGGGCGGCAAGGTGTCCAAGAAGTACATCTCGAAGGAATTGTGCCAGGAGATTCATACCAAGGCTGAACCTTTCATTCGCTGGTTGCAGGAGGCCGAGGAGGAGGACAGCGATAGCGAGGATAGCGATGAGGATGATCTCGAGGTAAATGATAAAAATTAATACTTATGTATAAATAATATATAGACTCGCTAAGAAGTCAAACTTCTTCATGTGGAATTGATAATAGTTGGGGAAAAAATTCATTTTTTGTTAACTCATATATGGTTTTTTTTAAGCAGTTCTTGACCAACTATTTTGAAACTTTTTTTTTCATAGCTTTATTAATTATACACAATTCAATGTATCTTTCAATTATTATATTAGAGTGCAGAAAGTAAGATGAGAAATATTGGGTTTCTATATTCTCCTGTATATATATGTATTGTTCTTATGAAAAGTTATGCAAACATTGTGAATAATTTAATTCATATTACAACGTTATTTGGCAATCTAGAACATCTAGAACGTTTTTGGACATTCTATGACAATCTATAAAGTTTTTGATCAATTTAGAAGAATTTAGAAGGCTTTTGAACAAGATAGAAACAACAAGATAGTTTTTGGACAAAATTGAACTATTTAGAACTTTCTTCTACTGTTTAGGAAGTTTTTAGACAATTTAAAACGTTTTTCGAACAATTTAGTACGTTTTTTTGGCAATCTAGAAAATCTAGAACGTTTTTGGACATTCTAGGACAAACTAGAATGTTTTTGATCTATTTAAGAAAATTTAGGACGTTTTTGGACAAAATATATAAGCATTTAGAACATTTCTGGACAAAATAGAACAAATCAGAATATTTTTGGATAATATAAAACATTTTTGGGCAATTCACCACGTTTTTGGATAATTTACAACATTTTTTGATAATATACAACATATTCGGCTAATTTAGAACGTTTTTGGATAATATAGAACATTTTTTATCAATTCTCTACGTTTTTGAATAAAGTAGAACATATTTGGCCTACTCACAATGTTTTTGGATTATTCAGAACATTTTTGGACAATTTTTTTTATTTGCATGGTTTTATTGTCAATCAAAATAATATACATTTTTTAAGACAATATGCTGGGTTTTGGACAATTTAGAAAGTTTTTTTTACACTATATAGAACATTTTTGAAAAATTTAGAACGTTATTGCAATATAAAGAATTTTTTGGTCAATTTAAAACGTTTTTGGATTATTCAGAAGATTTTTGGACAATTCTTACATTTTTGGATTGGTTACGATTTTTGGACAATTCGAAACGTCTTTGGATTATTTAGAACGTTTTTGCACTATAAAGAATATTTTTGGACAAGTCAGATCATTTTCACACTATTCAGAAAATTTTTGGACAATTCAGAACTTTTTTGGATAATTTACAACATTTTTGGCCAATTTAGAACGTTTTTATGCTGAGTAGAACATTTTTGGCCAATTTCGAACGTTTTTGGATAATTTACAACGTTTTTGGATAAATTGAAGCAATTTGGCCAATTCAAAACATTGTGCGATAATTTAGTAAGTTTTGGGCAGTTTGAATAATTTGTAACGTTTTTTGGAAAGGTTTGGCTAATTTGGAACGAATATTGAACGAATAAAACTAAATTTTTGTTTTGAATATTTTCAGACAATGTAAAGCATTGTGTAGACAATTTCGGGGAAAATTTAGAACTTTTTTTTTTAAAACAATTTATAATAGTAACAATAATGGTAATGATCATTTTATACGGTCCAGAACATTGTGGAATAATTTAGAACATTTAGAACGTTTTTGAACAATTTAGAACATGGTGAAAAAAAATTAGAACAATTTGGATCGTTTTTGGACAGTTGAAAACAATTCATAACAGTTTTTGTAAATTTAATACTTTTTTACTTTATATAGATCGTTTTGGGTCAATTTAGAATATCATGAGACGGTTTAAGATGTTTTTTTAAAACTATTTAGAAGGTTTTTTTACTCTGTTTAGAACGTTTTTGGCTAATTTAGAACATTTTTGGACAATTTAGAACATCTTTGGACAATTTAGAACATTTTTGGACAATTTAGAACATTTTTGGACAATTTAGAACATTTTTGGACAATTCAGAACATTTTTGGACAATTCAAAAAGGTTTTTTGGATAATTCGGTACATTTTTGAACAATTTAAAATGTTTTTGGATAATTTAGAATTTTTTTTGATATTTTAGTACGTTTTTGGATGATATAGAACATTTTTGGGAAATTTAGACAGTTTTTAGATAATTTATAGATAATTTAGAGCGTTTTTGGATCATTCGGAACATTTTTGGATAATTTAAAATGTTTTTGGATAATTCGGAACGTTTATGGATAATTTAGAATGTTTTTGCACAATAAAGAGCATTTTTGGAAATTTCTCACATTGGTGAAACAGTTTACATTTTTTTTTAAAGTATAACGTTGTTTTTAAGTCTGAAATCTTGGAAAGTTATTTTAGACAATTTGGGACGTTTTTACTAAATTTCGAACGTTTTCACTAAATTTGGAACGTGTTTACTCGATTTAGAACGTTTTTACTCATTGTCGAACGCTTTTGGTAAGAAAACTCTGAACCTTCTTTGACAATTCGGAGCATCCGATCAGAATTATTCAAAAAGCATTTAACTTGAGGTGACATAATAAAGAACTGATTACATTTTTGTGATGGCATATCCAGAAGTTTTGGAGATACAGAAACAAGTTTTTAAAAAACGCCATTTGGAGCCCAAAAATGTTTATTGGACTTACGCACATCAAATTACCAGATATATGATGGAGATTTAATTTTTCTTTCAGATCGAGTACAACGACCGTGCAAAAGTGTCCGCCCTCAAAGACATGACAAAACCGATTGTTGCACCAAAACAGCAACCAGTAGAAGACCCGGCTGACGATTTTGACATTGATGCCATATAAAACCATGGAGCACCCCCCAAATCACCATTGACCACAACCTCACACACCACCATTCGCAACCATAATAAAAAACTAGTATATAAAAAAAATTACAAAAAAAGCAAATCAAATCAAATCAAATTCTTATTATGCTGTATATCAAATAAATTAATAAATAAAATGTCTTTTACTATAAGTAGATATATATAAATATATATTATAAATGAAATAGTTTACATGAATTTCTTTCCTATGGCTTTGTGATTGTAAATTGCTCTCAATTTATTATTATTTTTTTTTAAGATAGTTTCTCTTCTTGTATTGTTTTTAATTCGGTTTTTATTATCGATCAATCAATGTGTATTATTGTAAATGTTGAATAAAATTTATGCACGATTGACCTATTGAGCAAGATTTAACTGCCGGATTTATTGACGGTGGTTACGTCATTAGGGATTTTGTGTAAGATTGAAAAAAAAATTATGGTTGTTTTTTAATTGATGGTGAGGTATTGGTTGGATTTTCAGGAGGAAATCAAGTTTATATATATATATATATATATATATATATATATATATATATATAAAGATTATTTTCATATAAAATATCCAAAGGTATTATTTAGCAATAAATAGAAAGTTTGGGACATTTTTTTTTTTTGTTTTTGTCAAATAACTCACAAATTTTACATAAAAGCACACTTTTTCAGTTAGATAGGGTGAAACTAGATAAAATTTACAAAATTTCCTAAAAAACACTTTTATACACTCTAATATGAGGGTTTTGAATAAAATGACTTTGATATTTCATTATTTAGCAATTAATAGAAAATTCGGGACATTTTTTTGGTTTTTGTCAAATAACTCAATTTGGATTTAGAATATTTTGATACAATTTATAACGGTTTTGGATAATTTAGAACCATTTTTGGACAGTTTAGAATGTTTTTGGTGAATTTAGAACCATTTTTGCACAGTTTAGAATGTTTTTGGTGAATTTAGAAGGATTTACAATGTTCTGGTACAATTTAGAACGTTTTTGGAGAGTTTAGAAGCATTTAAAAAAATTTCGAACAATATAGATAGTTTTTGAACAATTTAGATCGTTTTGCACAGTTTACAACAATTTAGAACGATCTTTTTGACTGTTAGGATAATTTAGAACGTTTTTGGACAACTTAGAATGATTCAGAACGTTTGTGGACAATTTAGAATAACTTAAAACGATATTCGGACAATTTACAGTTTTTTTGACGATCTAGAACGTTTTTGGACATTCTATAACAATCTATAACGTTTTTGACCAATTTAGAAGAATTAAGAAGGCTTTTGTACAAGATAGAAATAACTCAGAACGTTTTTGGATAAAATTGAACTATTTTGAACTTCCTTTTACTGTTTAGGATGTGTTTAGACAATTTAAAACGTTTTACGAACGATTTAGTACGTTTTTTTTGGCAATCTAGAAAATCTAGAACGTTTTTGGACATTCTAGGACAAACTAAAATGTTTTTGATCTATAGATATAAAAGTTTTGAATAAAATGACTTTGAATTCGATATTTCATTCTTTAGCAAAATTTTGAGGATTTTTTGGTTTTTGTCAAATAACTCAAAAATTTTATATGAAGGCACCCTTTTTTAGTTATATGGGGTGAAACTAGATAAAATTTACAACATTTTCTAGGAAATATGTTTATACACTCCGATATAAATGTTTTGAATAAAACGACTTTAAATACGATATATCATTCTTTAGTAGCAATAAATAGAAAATTCGGGACATTTTTTTGGTTTTTGTCAAATAACTCACAAAGTTTATATGAAAGCACCCTTTTTCAATTAGATGGGGTGAAGCTAGATAAAATTTACAACATTTTCATTAAAACAGTTGTTTACACTCTGATATAAAAGTTTTGAATAAAACGACTTTGAGTTTGATATTTGGTTTTATCACCAAGCTTCCCATCTTGTCTTTGCGCACAAAATGTCGCTATGGAGGTTTGTCAATATGGGAGTGTACGACCTTAGTTGTAAATTGTGATAATTAAACGTAATTATTATACAAACAGGCTAAATATTTACAATTATTATAACAAATATTTATTTAATAAATTTATCATTTAATTTGGGTGGAAAACAAACACATGTATTAAATTTGAGAAGATATCACAGAGTAAATGTCAAAGTGACAGGTTAGGTAAATGACAGCTGGGTTAAAAATTGTTGAATAAAATGATAAATTGGGATATATCAAGCTAAGCAGTTTATTTAATGAATTTAAAATAGTAATACAAACACGTTGTGTATTAATTTTAACACCAGTGTGTTTGCAGTATAAGAAATTCAACCCAACCCAAGACTAACCTTCATTGACCCAACTTAACTTTTACCACAATGGCGGAGTTAGCAGCCCTAATATCCAACGAAATCCCCGAAGGGCGTCACAACCTGACCTCAAGCCACACAAACCTCGAAAGAGTCGCCGAATACTGTGAAGCCAACTATTTCCAATCCGAGAACAAACGTATGGCCCTCGAAGAGACCAAAAACTACACCACACAATCCCTGGCCAGTGTCGCTTACCAGATCAACACTCTGGCTTACAATTTTTTGCAACTTCTGGACCTGCAGACGTCCCAATTGGACGAGATGGAAAGCCAGATGAACCATATTTCGCAAACTGTTATGATACATAAGGAAAAGGTTGCAAGAAGGGAAATCGGGGTGCTGACTGCTAATAAAGTTAGTAATAGGCAGTATAAGATTATTGCGCCTGCTAATCCGGAGAAGCCTATTAAGTATGTTAGGAAACCCATTGATTACAGCCGTAAGTAGAAAGTTAATTATTCAATTATTTAAAGTTACATATAAATATAAATATAAATATAAATATAAATAAATAAAAATAAAAAGGAAAGAGAAAGAGAAATGAGAAAGAGAAAGAGAAAGAGAAAGAAAAGAGAAAGAGAAAGAGAAAGAGAAAAGATCGAGAAAGAGAAAGAGAAAGAGAAAGAGAAAGGAAAGAGAAAGAGAAAGAGCTAAGGAGATAAGAGAGAAGATAAAGAGAAAGAGATAAAGAGAAAGAGAAAGAGAAAGAGAAAGAGAAAGAGAAAGAGAAAGAGAAAGAGAAAGAGAGATAAGAGAAAGAGAAAGAGAAAAGAAGAGAAAGAGAACTAGAAAGAGAAAGAGAAAGAGAAAGAGAAAAGAGAAGAGAAAGAGACTAGAGAGAAATAGAATAGAGAAGAGAAATAGAAAGATAAAGAGAAAGAGAAAGATAAATGAAAATAAAATATAAATAGAGAAATATAAAGAGAAAGCTAGAAAAGAGATAGATAAATATAAATATAAATATAAATATAAATATAAATATAAATATAAATATAAATATAAATATAAATATAAATATATATATAAATGCAAAATATATATATAAATGCAAAATATATATATAAATGCAAAATATATATATAAATGCAAAATATATATATAAATGCAAAATATAAATGTAAATGCAAAATATTAGGTTGTCAAATATCTCCCTTCCGCTTTTTTGCTCTTGGTTTATAATACAAAAAGGCGGAAGGGAGATATTTGACAACCTTATATAAATATGAATATAAATATATTTAATTATTAAATTATTTAATTTAATATTTAGTTTCTGGTAATCAAGGATTTTTTATTTATAGTTTTGGATGAGGTCGGTCATGGGGTACGCACTGATCACCTTCGCCACAAGCAAAGAGGCACCAGCCAAGGCTCAATACAATCTATAGGAGCCGCCAGCATTGTTTCAGCAGCTACTTCTGCAAATGCTGTTGGACCAGCGCCTACTACTAAACCACCAACACCTCCGCAGGCTGCCAGAGTGTCCACTGGGACCTTGGGCAAAGGTAAAAGGATAATTGACCAAGGTAAAATAGCTATGGTATGTTACTAGTCTCTCAAAATTTCAAAAATGCTCGTTCTACAATAACAAATTTAATCTGTATTAAACAATATATAGCTGAGAATCTTGACACTAATGGACAAGTTGATGTTATTTACATTGACTTCAGTTAAGCTTTTGACAAAATTGATCATAACATTCTTCTAACTAAATTATCTAAGATTGGTCTTAATTCTTCACTTATTTTTTTTTTTTAAGAGTTATCTTCATAAACGTAAACAGTTTGTCTATCTTAATGGATTCTTGAGCAGCATTGAAAATATCAGTTCAGGTGTTCCTCAGGGATCCATTCTTGGTCCGCTACTATTTATTATTTTTATTAATGACATTTCTGATATTATTAGCTGTCCACATTTATTATTTGCAGATGATCTCAAACTATATTTCAAACAATTTCTATAACAAATTACATTTAAATATATCAAAGTGCAAGATTCTTAGTTTTTCACATAAGCGCGTTCCGATACATTTTGTTTATAAAATTCCTAACACCAGCATTGATAGATGTAATAAAATTTCAGATTTAGGAGTTTTATTCGATTCTGGTTTGTTTTTAACGGATCATATAACTGATGTTTGTAATAGAGCACATAAATCTTTAGGTTTGATACTGAGAAATTGTAAACAATTCAGTTCTAACAATGCATTTCTTTGCATGTACTATTCTAATGTACGTTCAAAATTAGAATATGGTTCGATTATTTGGTATCCTCATCAAATCAACAACTCTGATGCGATAGAGAAGGTTCAGCGAAAATTTCTGAAATATCTTTATTATAAAACATATAAATTTGACCACAACACTTTACTAAAAGAATTTGGTATTCCTTCCCTTGCCTCACGTCGATTTATCTGTACAATTGTTCTTATTTAAACTTTGCAATAATTCAATAGACTGTCCTCTTAACCAACTATTCTTTAAAATCTAATTCTCTCTTAAATTCGCCTATTCTACTTATGTCCTCTAACTTTAACTCAATTAATAATGAAATAGATATTCACAACACTTCACCTAATCAAATAATCTCCATCTGCACAAGTTAACCTTTTTATTTTCTTTTCAAATATCTCATTATTTTATCTTATTCTGTATATAAATAATATTGTTACATTCTGCATTATATGTAATTTTATGTTAAGCATTTTATGTTAATAACTATATATTGTAATTTTGTATATATTTTAATTGTTATTCATTATGTAAAATAATTGTATTTTTGAGTCCTCTTGGAAGAAATCTGTGGGCTATATATTTAAAATAAATAAATAAATAAATAAAAAGCTAATTCTATGATGTTTGTGCCATTTGGAGGTTACATTTTAACAGTAAGAGATGCCATTTGGCAGTAACTACTTAATATAAGGGACTGGTAACATATCAGAGCTATTTTATCCATTAACCTTATAAGATTCTTTTACAATTTGTTACGTAATCTTTTTCCCCAGGTGGTACTTTGAGCAAAGGCTCCAGAGAGTACCGTACACCACCGATTGTGGCACCACCTCAAGTACCGAGTCACTATGCTCCAAATTATCCAATGGGGCACCCAAGAAGGGAACGAGGACCTGGTTATAGCACTTTGCCTATGGCTGGACAACATAACAGCAACCTGATATTGCCACAAGTGGTAAAATAACTATATATATATATATATATATATATATATATATATATATATATACACACACTAGCTTTGTAACCTTGATCAGTGTCCATAATGCACCGCTATTAATAACATTAAATATAGGAGAAACTATATTTCAAAATAAATTCTATATATATAATATATATATATATATATATACATATATATATATATATATATATATACACTAGCTTTGTAACCTTGATCAGTGCCCATAAAGCAACGCTATTAATAACATTAAATATAGGAGGGAAATATGTCTCAATTTCTTGTTTGTTAATATAACAGTATATTATTATTTTACACAAATTTTGTGTTGAATCAATTTTACATCATAATTATTGTTTTCTGCTGTTTTTCCTGGTTTGGTATGTATAATTTTCTCCTTTTTATATATTTATATTTATTATCAACTTTGTATTTATGTAATATGTTGTTTAGATTACTGAATGATGACACACATCAAGTGTCAAAATAGTATAAATATATATATATATATATATATATCTATATATATATATATATACATATATTTAATTGCCAATTATTATTTATTAGCCAGGAATGGTCCACATGTCTCAGCACGGTATGCAACAAAATAATTTACCACCGCCGCCACCATCAAGTTACCTTGATCATCACAATAGTATGCCACGTATGTTAAATAAATTTATCGATTGAAAAGAAATATCAGTGTTTAATAAGTTTTTATCAATTTCTAGCACCACCGTCTCCGCTTGTGACTGATCAATTGGATCATGGATCTCACACTTTGAACAGAATGTCCACCGGAAGGTAAGTTATATAATTAAAGTCATAATTTGCAATCTTAAAGTCTGCATTTCAACTATGATTTAATAAAAATTTCAATATCCAAGTTTATAAAACAGTTATAAAATAAATAAATAAATAACACAATACAAGCAAACTCTATTATTAATTTTTTTTTTTTAAATATTTAGTAGGATGGGTTCTCAATCGCCACCTTTACCACCGCCTCCGCCTCCGGAGGATGAACATGCTGCTTTTGGCAGACCCAGGACTTCTGGTATGATGCCGATTGTACCAGACGAGGAAGATTTACCCGGATGGGTTCCTAAGAACTACATTGAGAAAGGTAATAATAAATCATTCTTTTCGTATTAAAATTATATTATTTTTGCAGCTCTTACTTTATATAATTCTTACAAATATAAGACTCGATTAGGTTTTGTTTATATTTGTTTATATTTCTTATAAACATACACACGTTTTTTATACTATATTCTATATAAAAGTATATAAAACAATTATTTTTTATTTATTGTTTAGTGTTATTTCACCCAGCAATATGGGTCAACTAAAGCACACTGCAATGCACAACTAGTTTATTTATCAAAATTCTATTATTTTTACAGTTGTGGCAATTTATGACTATTATGCCGATAAAGAGGACGAATTGAGCTTCCAGGAGAGTTCTGTGGTTTATGTTTTGAAGAAAAATGATGACGGCTGGTGGGAGGGTGTTATGGATGGAATTACTGGACTGTTTCCAGGAAATTATGTCGAACCTTGTGTATAATAAAGGTAAAATATAAATGAAATCTAAACCGAAATATTATAGACTCATAATTATGATAAATGGAAGAGTAATTTAAGGTAATTTAGTTTTAGTAAATTAATTTTTAATTCTATATTATGAATTTATACATTGAGATATAAGTACAATTTGTTTTTGATAAATAAATACATATAATAATATAAATATTTACATCAATTTACTATAGTTATAATTTTTAATAGCTGTTTATATTTAATTCTTTACTTGCTTTATATGTTTACAATATACTACATATTTTATAATGTCAATAATAATTGTATCAATAATTATTCAGTATAAAATATATAATAGTTTTAATTCCTGAATTATCCTTTAAATTATCTTTTTAACTTCCCATAGGGTAGTTATAGTAATGGCCCGAAAATCGAAAATGAAAATTTTTGCATTTCTCGACGTTTTGATGGTTTCTGAACATTTTGGCATACCTCAGAAACAATGGATGTGTGTGTGCATATAGGGATACAATTTTTCGTTCACGTTTTCGGGCGCACGGATCAACCGATTTGAATGGTTCAAAAAACATTCGATTCCTATTAATAGGGAGATGTGCTGATTAGTTTTTGGCAAAGGCAGGTCCAGCCGTTACGGAGATATGGAGCAAAGTGTAGAAAATAGAATTCGAGTTTTTGAGAGAATGGATCATCCGATTTGTATGATCCAAAAAACTTTCAGTTCGTAATGACGGGAAAAAGTGGTTATTAGTTTTTGGCAAAGGTAGGCCCAGCGGTTTCGGAGATACAGAGCTAAATGTGCAAAAAATTGCAGTTTTTGAAAGAACTAAGCGTCCGATTTAAATGATTCAAAGAACTTTCTGTGTGTTTCAACAAAATAATTGCTTTTGGAAAAAAAATTTTTGTTTCTAATTTTTTTTTCAAAAAATATTTTGGTAATTTTGGATTAAAAATTCAAAAAATTGCCCAGGCTAAGCACAGTCTAAGCGCCACACTGGTACAAATGTTTACCCAAGTGCGTTTAGACTGTTTATGTTCGGGAGCACTTTTCCAATTTTGTGAAAACTATTGAAAAATGTGAAAATGCCGCCAAGCTAAGCACAGTATAAGTGAAAATGTCGCACAAAATTGTTTGCAAATGCGTTTAGACTGTGACTATGCGGAAGCACTTTTTCAATTTTGTGTAAATTAAATTAAGGCAATTATTTTTTTTTTTTAAATTGAATTCGAAATGAAATAACGATTGTTAATGTTCTGGAGATAAATTGAATTGAAATTATTGCAAAAATAATGAAAGTTGCACAGTATTTGTAATAATATATTTGAAAACGTTTAAAATTTCTCGAATATTTACTTCATTACGGTACGGGAAGTTCCAGCAATTTGCCTTAAGGCACGATGCCATACAAAACTAGTTTATTTTACAATCGTAAAACTAAATAATGGATAAAAATGGAAAAAAGGATTCAACTAAAGTTGGTTCAAGGATGAGAAATTTAAACAACAAAAATATTGTCAAAATTTGAAAAATAGTAAGAAGGAGTTCACAAAATGTTGGTAAATAATCCATAATCAAGTTCTCTTTATTAAATAATATGTTTTGAAAACATAGTTTGAAATATAACAGAATTAAAACAAGTACAACAATAGACACAAATTAAGATATAAACTAGTATATAATATAATATAATGAATTGCCAAATGATATTAAGACGACCAATAATGACGACAAATTTAAAAGAAAAATAAAGAAATATTATAAGGAAATTGAAGGTTGAATAGATATTTTAATTATAATAAATATATTGTAGTATAATGAAATAGACAAAAAAACAGTTTTGAATTGTAGATATGTTAAAAATATTGTGATTTTACATAACAATTGCAATAATAATAGTTTTAGTTCAAAAACTCAATCTAAATTTTAGATTTGAGATAAATAAACATAACTAAACTATTAAATACAATCTTTATACAACTTACCAATACTTTCAGCAATTCAATATCCACAAAAACACTTTAAAACCACAATTTAATTCAAAAACAACAACCGTTTCGCTTTCACATTTATATTCAAATCCGCCATCTTGCCATCCTGTCAAAAATACATTCAGCACAAAAAGTGTTACCCGATCCCCACCACCAATCCCTGTATTCCCTCTCCACTTGTCCCTCAATCCCTTCCTCTGGCAACACTATTCGACAGCTTTCAGTGTGTGCGTGTAGTTCTGCCAATATGGCAGCCAGTTCCAATTCAACATCATCGTAATAAATGTTTTGTACAAGTTTTTACGTCAATTTTCAAAATTACAATGTAAAGGCGACGCCTTTTTAAATTAAACGAAACTCATAAAAAATCAGCAGTGAAATGTGATAAGTGTATTTGATTAGTTTTAGTGTTTATTTCAGTTTTGGGTTCAGTTTTACTGGAATATGGATAATAACAAACAAATGAGTAAGTAAAGGATTTATAATGTAATAGTAAAATGATAATAGGTTTTGTGTGTGTTTATATGTATTATGAGTATTTTATAGGTATTTTGCATATGCATTTTATTATTGTGTGTTATTACAAAGACTTGACATAAGGAAAGTTTTGCTTCCGAATTTTGTTAGTAAAAATGTCAAAATTCAGTTGAAATTTTGACAGATATTTGTTTTATTTGTGCTCGACTTTAACCATTAATTTAATAATTAAAAAGTGTTTGAATATTGATAAAATTTTCGTGAAATAATATTTTGACAAGTACAGATGATATATATATATATATATATATATATATATATATATTATTTATTTATTTAAAAAGTCAAAAATTTGTGCAAAACTTCACACTACTCAAAATTTGCATATAAAAGCTAGTACAAAAATTACCACCTACAAATTAGTAATTTTCAAATGCGATTTTAAAGTATACCGAGTTGCTGTAGGGCATTATAATGTTAGACAATATTATAAATCATTTAATTTCCTATAAATTTGTCGAATATTTTGTTTTAATCAGACAAATCGTTTAAAAGTTACAAGAGTTACAAGAAATCAAGACATGAAGGATTGAGCTGTAAATTTATATAATTAGAATTGTGTTTTTGGCGGTTCAATTGAATTTTAAAGTATACCGAGTTGCTGTAGGGCATTATAATGTTAGACAATATTATAAACCATTTAATTTCCTATAAATTTGTCGAATATTTTGTTTAAATCAGACAAATAGTTTAAAAGTTACAAGAGTTACAACATATCAATACACGATTGATTGAGCTGTAAATGTATATAATTGTTTATTTATTTATATAATTAAGTTTTTGGCGGTTTAATTTGAATTTTAAAGTATACCGAGTTACTGTAGAGCATTATAATGTTAGACAATATTATAAATTATTTAATTTTCTTCAAATTTGTCGAATATTACATTTAAATCAGACAAATTGTTTAAAAGTTACAAGTGTTACAACAAATCAATGCATGATGGATTGAGCTGTAATTCTATATAATTGTAATTGAGCTTCACGCGGTTTAATTGAATTTTAAAGTATACCGAGTTGCTGTAGGGCATTATAATGTTAGACAATATTATAAATCATTTAATTTACTATGAATTTGTCGAATATTTCATTTACATCAGACAAATTGTTTAAAAGTTACAAGAGTTACAACATATCAATGCACGATTAATTGAGCTGTAACTCTATTTGATTATAATTGTGCTCTTCGCGGTTTAATTGTATTTTAAAGAGTTGCTGTAGATCATTATAATGTTAGACAATATTATAAATTACTTAATTTACTACAGATTTGTCGAATATTTCATTTGCATCAGACAAATTGTTTAAAAGTTATAAGAGTTACAACTTTAAGGATTGAGCTGTAATTCTATATAATTATAATTAAGCTTTTGGCGGTTTAATTGAATTTTAAAGTATACGGAGTTGCTGTAGGTCATTATAATGTTAGACAATATTATAAATTATTTAATTTTCTTCAAAGTTGTCGAATATTTCATTTAAATCAGACAAATCGTTTAAAAGTTACAAGAGTTACAACATATCAATGCATGATTGATTGAGCTGTAAATGTATATAATTGTAATTGAGCTTTTTGCGGTTTAATTGCATTTTAAAGCATACCGAGTTGCTGTAGGGCTTTATAATGTTAGACAATATTATAAATCATTTAATTTCCTATAAATTTGTCGAATTTTTCATTTACACCAGACATATCGTTTAAAAGTTACAAGGGTTACAACAAATTAGTCGACGATTGATTGAGCTGTAATTCTATATAATTGCAATTGAGCTTTTGGCGGTTCAATTGAATTTTAAAGTATACCGAGTTGTTGTATGGCTTTATAATGTTAGACAATATTATAAATTACTTAATTTACTATAAATTTGTCGAATATTTCATTCAAATCAGACAAATTGTTTAAAAGTTACAAGAGTTACAACATTAAGGATTGAGCTGTAATTTTATATAATATAATTGAGCTTTTGGCGGTTTAATTGCATTTTAAAGTATACCGAGTTGCTGTAGGTCATTATAATGTTAGACAATATTAAAATTAATCAATTTTCTTTAAATTTGTCGAATATTTCATTTAAATCAGACAAATCGTTTAAAAGTTACAAGAGTTACAACAAATCAATGCACGATTGATTGAGCTGTAAAACTATTTAATTATAATTGAGCTTTTGGCGGTTTAATTGAATTTTTAAGTATACCGAGCTGCTGTAGGGTTTTATAATGTTAGACAATATTATAAATTATTTAATTTCCTATAAATTTGTCGAATATTTCATTTAAATCAGACAAATTGTTTACAAGTTACAAGAGTTACAAAATATCAATGCATGATTGATTGAGCTCTAATTCTATTTAATTATAATTGAACTTATTGAATTTTAAAGTATATCGAGTTGCTGAAGGGCATTATAATGTTAGACAATATTATAAATTATTTAATTTTCTACAAATTTGTCGAATATTTTGTTTTAATCAGACAAATAGTTTAAAAGTTACAAGAGTTGCAACAAATCAATGCACGGCAGATTGAGCTGTAATTCTATATAATTGCAATTGAATTTTTGGCGGTTTAATTGAATTTTAAAGTATACCGAGTTGTTGTAGGAAATTATAATGTTAGACAATATTATTATTCATGTAATTTTTCATAAATTTGTCGAATATTTCACTTACATCAGACAAATTGTTTAAAAGTTACAAGAGTTACAAGATATCAATGCACCGTTGATTGAGCTGTAATTTTATTTATTCATAATTGAGCTTTTGGCGATTTAGTTGAATTTCAAGGTATACCGAGTTGCTGTAGGGCATTATAATGTTAGACAATATTATGAATTATTAAATTTACTATAAATTTGCCAAATATTTTGTTTAAATCAGACAAACGGTTTAAAGTTATAGGATATACAATAACTTTTACTTACAGTATAAATGTCTTATCCTCATAATCCTTGTCCAAACCAAGTTCAATCTAGACTATTATTATGAATCTTATTATATATATATATATATATATATATATATATATATATATATTAATGAATTTATTAATGAGTTGATTTTATGCAAGATTCATCTGTTTTATTAATAATTTTACTTTCGCTTAAAACCCATCAATATTTTCTACTTCATCCATATTTCATGTACAACTTTTTAAAATCTACTTCGAATCCAGTTTTTGTAAATAAGTAAATTTATTCTGCACATTCTTCTCGTCTTGAGTATTTTTGGCAATAATTTGCCATTTGAACAAATATTTATAAATATGAATATGAATATATTCAATGAACAGATAAAAATAATAGATAAATTCGATATATTTGCTTATCACCATTAGTTATGTGAATTATCAATTTAAAATTCAATTTATCTAGCAGATTTGTTCAATTCATTTAAACTTAAATGATAAAAATATATCTGAATGTATTGTAACTCACAAAATAAAAATTCTTTAATAGAACAATTAATTTTAAATTAATATTTGTTCATAACGATTAAATTCTTATTAATTTTTTAATTACAATTCTAGTTATACTTTTACTTTTTTTATATCAGTTGTTATTTTATTTATTGATACTTACGAGCAAATATATAAACTAGTCGTGTATGGCATCGTGCCTTAAGGCAAATTGCTTGAACTTCCCGTACCGTAAAGAAATACTCGACAAATTGTAAACGTTTTCAAATATATTATTACAAATACTGTAACTTTCAATATTTTTGCTATCCTGTTATATCTGAGCAAATCAAATGTAAATCATAAATAAATCAATTTAACTCCAGAACATTAACAATCGTTAATTTCATAAAAAATAGTTGCCTTACTTACACAAAATTGAAAAAGTGCTCCCGTATAGTCACAGTCTAAACGCATTTGCAAATAATTCTGTGCGACATTTTCACCTATACTGTGCTTATCTTGGCGGCATTTTCACGTTTTTCAATAGTTTTTCACAAAATTGGAAAAGTGACTACATAAACAGTCTAAACGCACTTGGGTAAACATTTGTATCAGAGTGGCGCTCAGACTGTGATTAGCCTGGGTGAGTTTTTGAATTTTTAATCCAAAATTATAAATATATTTTTTAAAAAATAAAAAAAGATGTAATAATTTTTTATCTTCAAAAACAATTGTTTTGTCAATACAAGCAGAAAGTTTTTTTTAGATAATTCAAATCGGACGCTTAGTTCACTCAAAAACTGCCATTTTTTGCACATTTAGCTCTGTATCTTTGAAATGGTGGAACCTGCCTTTGCCAAAAACTAATCACCTCTTCTCCCAATCACTACTAATTGAATGTTTTTTAGATAATTCAAATTCGACACTCCGTTCTCTCAAAAACTCGATTTGTATTTTCTGTACTCTTTACTCCGTATCTCCGTAACGGCTGGACCTGCCTTTGCAATAATTACAATTATAATTGCACATTTAGTTCTATTTATATTATCATTAATTTTGAAGATTTTTCCTTACTAATTTATCTCACTTTAATTTTGTTATATATATATTTTGCTGTATATATTTTTTTATTCTACAGTTTTAATAAGCAAAAATAAATTAAATAAATTTTGGACCAATTTTGGAGTCTCTCTTATAAAAAATTACCCTATTTTATATCTTCTACTTTTTTCAATTATTTATATTTAAATTCATAAATGTAATATTTTATTTTTTCCATATGCAATATATAAATTCCAAATTTTGCTGCATTTCTGATCTTTATATATAATGTAGATATCAGTAGTAAAAACCCAATGATAGAGTGATTCATCCATTTCACTCCAATACTTACAATACAATATTTTTTGTCTAACAAATATCTCATATTATCCCACTTATTAATTACACTACTTATTAATTTTATTATTATTATTATTTGCTTTTATTTTATATTAAATCAACAATTTACGTATATCATTTTATGCAAAAT